GAGTCCTCCGATGCCGGCCGCCGGCTGCCGATTATACAGATCCAAGCCCAGCAGATGCATCGGCGTGCTCACAAACTGCATCAGCGCCGGACACGCAAACTGCGCCAGCGCAGCTTTCATCGCCGGCGTCGCCGCCACCCCGTCGGGGATGCTCGGCGCCAGCAGCGCAGGGACATTGAACGACGCGAAGATGGTGATGCTGTCGCGCAGACAGAACAGCCCGTAGCTCACGCGCGGGACTTTCAGGCATGCGGTCCCGGACGGGTGGCACGTTGCTTGGGCGCCCCCGCCGGAGGCGACACCGACACCACCTGTGCCGCTGCTGGTAGTGGCAGGAGTGCTGGCGGCGCCGAAGATCCTCGCGAACCGCGCGTCCTTGTACACGCATATCCCCATGTTCACCGCCGTGGTGGTCAGGAACTTGGCCGTGCCGGGGAAGACGGTGTCGAAGGGCTGGTTGCGCAGCGTCGAGGTGAGCGTATCGATTGCGTTGGCGGTGAGGTACGTCGACGTGTAGAGGGTGTATATCAGTAGGAACGGGGTGCTCAGGAAGAAGTTCGCGGGCCTGGTGAGCAGAGACCGGAAGCAGGAGGTGATGGTGCTGCGGATGGGGAGGCCCTTGGCGGCTTTTTCGATGATAGCTCTGCGATCGTGGTTAGTCAAAACACAAAGTTTGAGAGATGGAAAGATGGAGCTACCGGTCAATGACCGTGATGACGGGACAGGTCAGTGCACCCGCTGTCATTGCGCTGGCGATGTCCACGCCGAGGCGCATGCCCAGCTTCTCCGTGTTCCATTTCGCCGTTGATGGAGCTGCCGATGCTGTTGAGGCTTTCGACGGCCGTTCTGGAACGGCCGGACCTGGTATGGTGATGGAGCCATCTGGGGAGAGGGCATTCCGTGGCATAATCTGCTTGTGACAGTCGATTATGGAGTAAACAGGTGAGGCTGTCAGCACAAGCAGGGTCTGCAATGGAGATGGTTGCGTGGTTATTGCAGACTAAAACACGACAGAGAGATTTTGGCGGTCCAATCAATTACAAATAGCCATGCTTCAGATACATCAGAATCACCAAAATGATGAAATCGCATCCTGACGAGTCTGGGGGAAAACAATTACGCTGATGACTGTGACTGCGTCGCGGACGAGAACGCCCCGGGCCCGAGACACTCGGAGAGTCCTCCGATGCCGGCCGCCGGCTGCCGATATCCAGTCATACCGGTCAAAGCCTCATTCTTAACACTTATATGTCTACAAAGAACGTTCGTACTCTAGAAATAACCAAATTTTATGTTCTGTCATAGTGACCGCAGACCATATTTTGTAAAACCTCAACGCCAATGATATCGCCCGAAATTCAACATGAGCATCATACCCGCCCAGTCATCAACAGCCCAAAATATCACGCAGAGTTGGTTGATTCACTGGATGCATTCGCTTCGAATCCATCGAGAGTAATGTTGACCGCACCGGCTTGGACGAGCTATTACGCACGTAAATTAGTATTGGAAGAAAGAAAGTGGAAGAAAAGAAGACCAAGTGCCTTACCGCCCGCCGCAAGTCGTCAATGAGATCGTCTACATCCTCAATACCAACACAGAGCCGGATCAAGTCTTCCGGCATCGCTCGCTCCTGTCGTGTCTTCGCATCAATACTGGCATGGCTCATACGACAGGGCATGCTAATCAGACTGTTGACGCAGCCGAAGCTGACACTGATAGCCCACAGCTTGGCGCTTTCAACGATGCGCTCGCTGACGCCCACATCGCCAGTCTCGAACGACAGCACGGCTCCGGCGCCCCGCGCCATGGAGTGGTGCAGCTCGTACTGCGGGTGAGACCGCAGCCCGGGGTATCGGACCTTGAACCCATGGGAATCCAGAAACTCGGCAATGCGCTGGGCGTTGGATTGCTGCTGGTCCATCCGGACCTTGAGCGTCTTGACACCACGCATCAAGAGCCACGAGTCAAAAGGAGACAGGCCGCATCCAGATGCGTTGATGGGGAAGTACAGCCGCTCCCCAAGAGCGAGGTCGTTCACGGCAATCACACCAGCCATGAGATCGTGATGGCCAGACAGGTACTTGGTTCCACTTTCATAAACAATATCCGCCCCGAGATCGAGAGGGTTCAATAGCAGCGGAGACATCATGGTGTTGTCTACCGCCACCAAGCAACTGGGGTTGATCTCGTGCGCCGCCGTGGCGATCTGGGGGATATCGACAATCTTGATGAGAGGATTGGTCGGCGTCTCGAGCAAGACCATGGCTGTCTTCGGACTCAACACCTCGCGAACTTTATCCGGCTGCGTCGTATCGACATGGTGAACGATGATGCCGCCGTTGGTCGACAGATATTTCAAAAGACGATGCGTTCCGCCGTAGAGGTCGTCACCCGTCACCACCTCGTCACCGGGACGAAGCAGCCGGGAGATCACATCCAAAGCAGCCATACCGGATGAGACAACTAGGGCGCGCTGCGCGGACATGATCTTGGCGAGGTGTCGTTCGAGGTGAGTTCTGGTGGGATTTCCGGAGCGAGTGTAGTCATATTCTCCGCCGCCGCCGCCCGAGGTTTGCTTAAACGTGGCGCTCTGCTTCAATCAATACACTGCTCTCGTCGGATAGATTGCCTGGGATATTTGCATCGAAAGACGTACCTGGTAGATTGGGACGCTGCTGGCATTGTACTGGTCATTGCTGTCGGTATATACAAGTTCTGTGGCAATTGCATATCGCTTGCCTGTACGCGGACTGGAGGGAGCAGGAGACGGAGGGAGATTATGTCCGTCAAGGTCGACGTGAGGAAATGCCTTCTTCATAGCACCGGTGGCTGCAGGTGCAGCAGCACCAGCACCAGAACCCGAGGCCGACATCGCTTTGCGGGGCGGGAAAGTAGCGGGGAAAGCAAGGAGCGTAGAATTGATCAGGGAAGATTGAAACACTCAAACCATACGAATCGACAGAGGTTCTCAGAAATTGGTATAGCAATCAGACGATCAAGGAGCAAGGAACAAGGGATAAACAAGAATGGATGAAAAAAGGAGGGAGAGCAATGACTGGAAAAGACTGGGGAATCTCCAGAAGAGTCAGACGCCAGTGGAGCGGATTGTTGCTTGCCGTATCCGTAGCGGGAAAGGATACTTCGACGCTGCTGCCCTGTGATTGGCTGCCGTCCGTTGTCAGCGATTTCGTCATTGACTATTCCATATGAGGCTTAGCGCGCTGACTCATAATCAATGCCTAAGGCAGAAGGTATTCCATTCGCTATAGCCATTAAATAGGCATCTGCACATGCGTATATACATATATCGATTTCGCGTAATACATCCTTCGCCATCGTGCTCCTTCCTTATTCCGTTGCAGTGGGCCTGCAGACGGTACCATCAGAACCACAGGATAACTACGTCAAATATGGCAGAATATGCCCTTGCAAGAGAAAGTAGAGTAAGAGATCATAAAGTCACGCAGAGGCAAAGGCTGCAACTTGCACAGCCAGAGTATCGGTGTTATACACGTCGCAAAACCAGGGCATTCATCGCCTATTGTTGTCGAATCAAGCGATCGTCATGTTGCCATTTCTCCAAAGCTCCCATTGATGCCGAAGAATTGAAACCTGTAAGAGCGGTCAAGGTCAGTAATGTGATCTCGGGCATCTTTGACAGAAACATACCAGTCTTCGACATTCAGCGTCGTGGGAGCCGTTGGTCCACTTCGTGAACTGCTACTCCAGTTGTCATCCTGACTAGCATTATCCATTCCGGCAGCACTCAACGGCGCATCTAAGCCTTGCATGGGCCATCCATGCTGATTTTCTAATCCAAACATTTGCTGTGGCTGGGGGCCTTGCAAGCCCATTCCCGGGGGCAGGCCCGACATAAGCTCCGGGCTACCCTGCGCACCGGATACCGAAAGATTACGACCCGGCATCTGTGGCGTTTGGTTCACCATCATGTGACGCTGCTGCATACCCTGTGTTTGTAATTGCGGTTGCATCTGTAGTTGTGGGTCGACGGTATGGTTCTGCGGAGATGCCAATTCGGGGAATATGGCCGTGCCATCAGGGAACAACTGGTCAGGCTGGAAGTTCTCCCAGAGAGACGGGGAGAGGTTGGGCGAAGTACGTGTGACAAGGAAGAGGTCTGGAGGCGTCGCAGGTAGCGAGAAGTGACCATTGAAGGGCGTCGTCGGTCGAGTATTGCTTCGGGAATTGCCTGGCAGTGTATTGTGTGGCGCAGTAGGGGACCCTTGCGGCACGCTGATCCCAGGGGGTTGCCCCAGTTCTCTGGATGGTGTGACGGCAGGTGTCTGTGGTCGTGATCGTTCGTAGGAAACCGGAGGTGTAGGGCCCCCGTTTGGCAAACCAAGATCCATGTCGTCGAATTTCCGCTTCGGCGGCTCAGGTTTCTTCGCAGGAGGCTGTTGCGTCGTCTCGGTTCGTACCCTCTGATGCCTCCTACCAGCAGCTTTTTGAAGACGTTCCTCTAGAACTTTGTTGCCCAAGATCGACTCGAACAGTGTGTGAACCATCTTAGCCACCAACCAGACCTTGGACACGTCTTTCAAGGCTTGCATGCATATGTTGATTCTCTCCTGGCACGTCGCCACAATAGACGGTACTGATGACCGCATTTGGTAGACGTGCATGATCAATGCCGAGAACAAGCTGTAGACTCTGTTGAAAGTTAGCAGGAGGCAGTAAACTTCACTGAAAGGAAAGGCCCACATGAACGCTGGAGCATATCGAATTTCGTGATGTGTCTGTAAATTTTCGACGATAGAGGTGATCATCCCTGCAGCTTGGAAGGCAATAGTACGAGAAGGATACGCCATCTCCTCTACACGGTAGCTGTTGGGCGCGGACGAAGCAGGAGGCATGTGTGCTCGATGCAGTAGACAGAGAGTGGTGCTTTGGTTCATTAGCCATGACCTTCCGAAGATGAGATGTGCTTTTACACTCACTAGTAGTTCGCATGAAGAAGAGCTGCCAAGAAGTGATGCCGTGACCGCTGCCAGCATACCTCCTTTGGACAATTCTGAAGCCAGTCTGCCAGAGCCATATCCGAATGCGTCAAGTCCATGGCGTTCATCCTCCGAGACTTGGATGCCACGGAGTATTGTTGAGATAGAACTAGGCCCATGATTTCGCAAAGCTTCACGTATTGAAGGAAGAACTGTACGTGTACAGGGTCTGGAGGGTACTCGGCGGCGATGTCGATCTCGTCCTCAATGAAATCGTCCTCTGTCAACATGCCCACGTCTGAGTCGTCTGTGTTGATTCCGATAGGCCGACCGAGGGCAACTGCTACGGATCGGTCCCTGGTGAAGAGGGTCCACCAAATACGCTTCCATAATCTCTTGTCTGGCTTGCTGAGTTGAGATGTTTCCACGCTGCGATCGTAAGCCACTTAGCCGAAGATACCATAGGGAATAAAAGGTCATACCTTCGGTGCATGCCGGAGCCTTGTGCGACGACCATTGCAACTCTTGTCCAGTAAAAGACGTTCTTTGTCACGTCTGTGGGGAGTTAGACTAGGCCGACTCTCAGGAAAAAGCAAACAAACAAACCTTCGGGGCCCTCCCAGTACCAGCCTAGGAGAACAAGGGCCTGAACAATCGTGACGCGGTCGTCTTCGTAATTAGCATCATAAAGTGCTTTCGCCCGTTTATAAAAAGTCATTGCGGCCGGGGTGGTGGAGCCGTTCGCGTCCATAAGTTGGGGGTTCGTGCAAACCCTCGAGCCTGCGAGAAGGATGGCTTGAAGTAGAAGCAAAGAAGGTGGGTTCTTCGGATCGCGATATTGCCGCATAAAACGGCTGCGATTGATGATGGGGACGACGGGTGCGACCCATTTGAAATAAGCATCGACAAGCTCGTCACAGAGAGGTTTGGGAGGGAGTAAGAAAGCACCACGCTGGTGGAGAATGTCGAGTTCGAGGTTGTCGAGGTCCGTCAACCGAGCACGCGATCCTCTGATGTTAGGCGGAAGAGGATAGTGCACCACGTCCGTTGTGCCATGACGATCCTGAACCAGGAGCGACAGGTTTGATGACTCTCCGAGATAGGCGACTCTGCCCGCTTCCTTGATCGGTGCTCGGGCGAACTTGGGCTTCATAAATTGGGCATAAGCGTTGTTGTGGGACGCCTGCTGGGCTTCCTGTTGCTCGGTGAGGGTGGTCACTGGCATCCCATCAACGGCCATCCGGTTCTTGCGGTACCCGAAAGCATCCTTGCCATCCGTGCCGTCGCTTGGCGACTCCTCCTGCTTGTCTTGGCTGTCCTCGTTGCGCTCATCAGTCCTACCAAGAGACGGAGGTCAGTAGGTTGTCGACAGCTTATGGCTGCCAGACCAGGCAATTTACATACCCGCTGTTGGTGTCCTTCGACTTGGTCTGGTTCTTCTTGCGTTTCGGCGTAGGGATCTTGCACTCGATCGAAAAGGCCACACAGTTGGTGCAAGGCACACCTAAACTGGCAGCATCGCAACGGACCTGCTCGAAAAGGTTCATGGTCAGCAACCTCCTTTTACAAAACTCGCGATGACAACCAGAGTACAAACTCACCTTTCGCGCATGGCAGGTCTATAGCACCCAAAACCAAAGGAGCAGTTAGCAAAATAACTCATCGTGGTATGATTGTGGTGTAGTATGGGGTGATCGTTGTGAGCTCTCCACCACAGCATGCAGCTCGATATGGTGATGATAGCTGCGATGGGCCGAGGTGCCGAGGCACCCGCGCAGGTCGCGTTGACCTCGCAGGAATACAAAAGGATGAGACGTACCTCACAAGCACGCGACGCACGTTGTCTGTGTTCAAAGATTAGATAAAACCAATTAGCATCGATGGATCTTCTTTTTAAACCCGAACTGCACATTCTACAAAGCTTTCAACCCCAATATTGTCGACCGGACTGAATTTTCTTCGTGCGACCGTCCGGGACAACAGCCCCGCGAACAAGCAGGAGAATCATCAACCCACCACCACAGCGAAAGGAAATATCACCACACACCTTCTGAAACTCATGTGTCCGTTTGGGCCACCGCGCACAGTGATGCCCGAAGTACCCGTTGAGCCCGCGGTGCTGGGGGCAGGGCTAGGTCTCGAGGGTGTGGATTCGGGGCGATTCTCTGCTGTTGTGCTCATGGCCAGGTATCCATCCAGAGAAACTTGCGACCGGGGGGAGCTTTCGAAGCGGAGACGGCGATAATAAAAAGGGACAGAAGGTGACGAGGGTAGGTCTAGAAAATAGAAGAGGATAAGGTAGTAGAAGGGGAGTACGGGAAGTTGGAGATGGACGAGTTTCCTCTTCTTTCCGTCTCTGTCTGCTTTTCTGAACAGTTACTGGAGAGCGTGTTGCGTATTGGCGAATAGTAATAGGGACCAGAATAAGGCACGGAACAGGTAAAGTGAAAGTGGAAAACAGAAGAACAGAAAGGCAGACGCCACCGGAGGAGTAGCAGCTAGAGTCTTGAGATGGATGCGATGGATGCGATGGATGCGATGAATGCGATGAATGGGACACGAAACCTGTGCGGGTGGGCAGTTGGTGAGGTACTTTTACTGTTACTGGTCCGTGGTCACAGGGGTTGTTGGTGCCTCACTGCCTTGAGTGGATTCGAGCGATGCGGTGGAGGAGGGGAGAAAAAGTCCCGGGAGGATCTGCTGCTACTACTACTACAACACAGGAACCAGAGTCTGAATGTACCAGAATAGGAGGATTCGAGAATGGATGGAGTACTGATGGGCTCAGTATAATCAAAGAATTAATGATGACTGTATATACGAATATGGGGGCAAGTACTCCGTCCTCCGTTTTTTGTACTCACTACTCCAGTCCGGAATGGGCAACATGACCGTGAGGGAGGTGAAGCGCAGG